TGTGTCCAAGATGTTCTAAAATTGAAATGGTTATTGGTTGATTTCGGGTATTTCCCTAATAATAGCTGTTGTATACTACCGTATTTATGTGTTTAAGGACAGAGTCAAACTACGACGGCATTGAATAGGCAAGTTGGAGAAAATACGTTATATCACAATTCAAGGAAATTTTAACTATGTTTGTATAAAACACTATTAAAATGCTGTACTCATAAAAATACCAGTTTATTTTCTCAATACGTTAATATCACGGGTTAAATTAAAGAGGTTTACATGTTCTGATACGTAGTATATACGTAAGAATCTCTAGCAAATCGATAAACAAAGCTTCGTCTTATCTTCCGGATTCGTCCTATCTAAGGATTTTTTAAAAATTACGGCTGAAAATGAGCCTTTCGACCTATATACCCCATCGACCTATACCCCCAAAATTACGGTATATGAAAAAAATAATTATATTAAAAACAGAGACTTTCACACTCAAATTGTAATTACATCTGTAGTATATTTATTTGAAACCAAATTAAACCTTTGTTTATTAAATTTTATTTATTGACAATGGTTACTGCATATATTTTTTTTTTCTAGAAAATTAATCATGTGCTTAATAAAATGAATGGCTTATTTTTAGACTAGAATTCAACTATAGATCAAGGCCGATTCCCAAATCACTCCGTAGACAGCTTCAGAAAAAATACATGTGTAACATGAATTTGATGACAGTTAATTCTTTATCAAATTTTGCTTACAAATATATTCTGGCTATCGTTTTCATTTTGACTTGTCAATATAATTATTGTAAGAATCTTTACGCAACGTAAAACAATTTCACTAAAATATTTCCTGAGCCCGTACATCATTGTGCATGTACTTGTTCATGTAATTCAGGCAAGTGGCTTTATATCTCAGATATTTAAGAAATTGAATAATCTAGAAATACATTTATACCATGTTTATTAAAACAAGAGTTTTGCAGTTTGAAGAACGAAATAAATGTCATTGTTAACCAGTATGCAGGTATGGTCAGTGATGTGTAACACTGATACCCAAAATACAGTCCCTGAAACGTTCTACTTTCCCATTTTTCCGTTCGCTCACCGTTCGTTCACCGTTCGTTCAGCGTGCGTTCACCGCTCGTTCAGCGTGCGTTCACCGTTCGCTCTCCGTTCACAGTTTTGCGTTCACCGTTCACCGTGCGCTCGCGTTCACCGTTCACAAAGCGTTCAGCGTTCGCTCTTCATTCCGTTTACTTTGCGTTCACCTTGCGTTCAGCGTTCACCTATCGTTCAGTTTTCATTGTCATTCGGAACTCCGAAGTGAAAGGACTTATCTTTTTGTAGTTAAGGAGTTACAGGTTTTTTTTAATTTATTAACTAACATATCGTGTTTGAAGAATCATTATTTCATGAGGAAAAGTATCTACGATATATATTTTTATTATTCTAACTTAGCTGTTAGGTTATTTATTAAATTACTCTCGAAAATAAATGTTGTTACAAGCACATTCTGTACCTATGTAGAACCATGCTGAAATATGAAATTTAACTAAGGGCAATGTGCAAATACTTCAAACACTGCAACATTTTGTTGTTTTGTTAAAGACGACAAATCGTTAATGGAGATATAATTATTCAAGTCAAATAATTACGCAGCAAAATTACGAAAATATAAAAACAATAGTAGATCAAAATGCACACGTGTCGGCGGTGGTATTTGAAATTGGCAGAGAGTATGTTTCACATTCTAGTGTTAAAGCCCAATGTATTTTACTAATTTATTATTCAAATGTTGGAATCAAATCTAGAAATGATAAAAATAAATGTTATAACTTGTTGGAAATACTCGCACTTCGTCTTCGATGTGACGAAACTTTCACACCTGCACAGTGTCGAATGATTTTGATTGACAGGACAAGCACGTGGACTTCGTGTGAACTTGAAGCAGGAAAATAAAAACGAGTATGACTGTCAAACAAATGGATATGATTTGTTGATAAAAAAAAAGTTACTTTCACTGTCTGATATATTTAGAAAAAAAATTCAAAGTTTTTGTTTGATATAGGTACAAAACATTTGGTGAAGACTGAAAGGAGGGGGGCTAAAACTGAATAGTACTCTCTCTCTCTCTCTCTCTCTCTCTCTTTCTCTCATTTGTCTGTTTAATAAAAACTATAACACCATATTACTTAAATATCATGTTCTGAAAATTGAATTTATAACATTATATGAATATGTATCTTTGTATCATCTTGTCCGAGTACATGTATAATCACGGCCATCTAGAGATACATGTAGACGTCTGCTCAATAAATCATAATGAAAAATAGAAATAACACATAATATATTATTGTATTAAAAATCTAAAATACGAGCGTATAAATGTAATTAATTTTTTTTTTCATTACTTTACACGAAATCGCCTTGACACGGAGATATTTATATGAATATAAGTTACAACCGCTTTAATTCATTCTATAAATCATAAGTTTTCTCTGATTTGTTATCAAATAAGAATAAACATTTTAATTTTCCAACTAAAAACAATATCTTTTATACTTCAGCGTTCGGCAACAATTGCAATGTTTTAATGCGATAAAAATCGTGTGATTAAAAATTTGATGTGCACGCATCGTCTTTCTTAGGACAATTTTGGAGAATTTATTTTATTGACTTATTTATTCATTCATTAATTTGTTTAATTATTTATTATCATTATTTATTTATTTTTTTTTTGCACCTGACATTATAATACAATAAAATAGTTTCAATGCAAGGAAAAGATCAGAGACATTCCGAATATATCGTTCATCTTGCGTTCACCGTTCGTTCACCGTTCACTTTGCGTTCGCATTTGCGCTCCGTTCGCGTTCTGCGTTCGCTCACCGTTCAGCGTTCACACATCGTTCACCAAGTTGCGTTCAGCGTTCACACATCGTTCACTCACCGTTCGCTCTGCGTTCGTTCAGCGTTCGTTCACCGTTCATTCAGCGTTCACTCACCGTTCAAGTGGGAAAGTAGAACGTTTCAGGGACTGTAACACGCGTGAACTGTCTGATATTCATGCCCAAAGGTGATTGAAAACTTAGCCAGTGTTTACACATTTTATACACCGTTTACGGCTTTTAATCGGCCAGACTATGCAGTTGTTACGCGCATCTTGATTTCCTCAAATGTACACAAAAAGAAATAAAAAATAAAACACAGATTTCCATATTTTCAACCATATTTATTATTTATTTAAATATAATTTTATATATTCATTAAAACTTTTTTATAAGCTAAAAATAAATCCGGGATCCAGGAGAAAAATCAACAAATAATTGCTCTCGTTGTTTATATGACCGGAGATTATTTCATAGAAAAAGATTGTCCTTATTGGAATTAATTATTAGGTTTTATTTTGAAGCAGTAAAAAAAAAGGGCATTGATTTTTTTAAAAAAAATTTCCATGATAGCTGCCTTTACAGTCCAAAAATAATTACTTTCCAGTGCAGCATGTACATGTATATATAGCTTTGAATTTTTTTTAAAAAACTTTAATCTCTAATGCCGTGATTGTGTCCTCTTTTAGGACATAGAATAATATAAACTTTAAGTACATAATTTAACAGCTTTTATTATTATTTAAATTATTTAGTTTCAAACACCTGCATTTACGTTAAATACATAGATTAAAAAAATCTTTTTTTCTGACTTCTGTTTTTTAAACTGGCAAAACAACTTTTTATTATAACCAACATTTAATTAATTTTTCTAATTGATTTTACACTGCAATGGTGCGACATCGGCGGTTGACGCACATGTATACACATGTATCTTTCAGTACCTAACAGTATTTGTTAATTGTTTGGAAAATTTTTGTTTATTTATTTTCTTTTACAACTTCTCTGCTAAAAGTAAACAAAACTACTGTACAAAATGAAACCTGCAAATTCAGAATATACAAGGGATGGGGCTTTCTTGTCACTCAGAATCATTTTCATGCATGGATGAACAAAGCAGTCCCACAAAGCAGTCCCAGGGACTGCTTTCTGGGACTGCTTGGGTGTCAGGTTGGGTCTGGTTGGTACTGTCACTGTCAATTATCCAATTATCACTTAATTATCACTTAATTATTTTCTAATTGCTTTAATAGACACAACAAATGAGCCCTTTTGTATACACAATAATTACTTGACCAGGATTGACACCTATGACGTCAGAGCAATGGAGCGTAACATCGGCGATCAAAATAAATTGAGAATTTCAAAAATTGAATCGCTAAAACATCAAAAATATTAATTTTCTAACAAAGATTTTTTAATTTATGATTTAAATAGCATGTAAACTTTGTCATATCAAAAAATTTTGAAACGTGATAAAAACCCTTTAATGTCCCTTTTGGGAATTTTTTACTCATATTGAGACACCATCAGCTGCGGGGGAGGAGGGCTGCAAATTTAGACCTATATACTCAGCACTCAGGGCCATTGAGCAGTGAGGGATCTTTTTTCGTGCCAGCACCTACTGCAACACAGGACCTCAGTTTTTACGGTCTCATCTGAAGGACCGTTATCCACATCCCATTGTGGGATTCGAACTAGCGACATAAAGATCAACTCCTTACTCAGTGACTCTAGAGCAAGGGCTCTAACCATAGCACCCTGCAAGTGACCTCTATATATATGTAGCATTCATTTGTAAAATATGTGGTATATACTCTAAAACCTTGCATGGTTTCCTTGTTCTTCATAGTAAAATAGGAAATCATTGAAAATTATTAACTTTGGTTTAACTTTGACATCAGAAAATAAAAAAAAAATCCTCCATTTTTGTTTCTAACATAAAAGTGTACCAGTAGTTATTTGAATTCATGCACATAATTATATGTGATTTACCTATCATTATGAAACCTTGCATGATGAGTCAAACTGTAATGTATCAACACACTGAATATCTCAACATTTTTTAATTATCTTATATGTCAGAATACATATGTCATCTCGTCATTTTTCATTTCAGGTATATTTACCATTATTGCAAGTCTATCACTCTACATTGGAAATATACATGCAGGCAAAGCTCTTCATGCAAGTCTTGTGAATAACATTCTATCAAGTCCAATGAAGTTTTTTGATACAACACCTCTAGGACGAATTATGAATAGATTCAGTAAAGATGTGGATGTGTTAGACACACAGATTGGTCGCATATATGAATCTTGGCTGTCCTGTTTGCTGAAAGTAATTTCTGTACCCATTGTCATAGGATACAGCACACCCTATTTCTTAGTAGTCTTCCTTCCACTGGCTCTGTTATATGTTGCAGTTCAGGTGAATATGATTAAGACAAATTTTACCTCATATTTGAGTTTATTTTAGTCCTATAATTGTGTTTATTATATTCCCAAAACTTGGGAACATAGTGTGTTTTAACTCTGTTTCTTCTAATAATTAAGTCAGAAGAGCTTAAATACATGATGTAGTAATTCTACTGTTCCGTATTTATTACTATAATTTTTTATTTTAACAACTATTCAGTTTTTGGCAAAAATCCTTTTTGTTTTCTTCTTGTTTATTATTATTATTCTGAACACTTTCTAATTAAGGTAAGGTTTGAGACACACAACAAGGGCAAAGCAAAGCATCTCCTTGCAAAAGAGCATGTCAGTCCTGATCAACTTCCATTACACAGGCGATCACTAGATCACACCTCTGCCCCAAACACACAAGAGCATTATTATATCCTTTCAAATTTGATGCGAGGGGATAAAATTTTTTTTGCTAGGGAAACACAATTTTACTTTTTAGCTCACCCTGACAAAGTTGAAATGAGCTTATGGGTGAATTAAAAAAAAATGACCACCAAACTGAATTTTTTTTAGAAAAATTCAACTACTTATAACAAATTTTTCACTTATATCATCATATTGCACATGCATTCTAGTTTAAAATCCTGAAGTGGCAATAGAATAGACAATTGGAATAAAAAGTTTCAGAATTTTTATTAGTAAAATTTCTTTTGAAAAAAGAAAATAAAATTACACCTTAAAAGACTTTCTAAAATATATAATCACGAGAAATTATAGTTTTTTATGCTTCAAAATGGTAAAAGGGGTATAATGAAATATATGGAGATAACGAACAGTATTCAAGCTCAAAAGTCCATTATACAATACAAAATAGGAGCTGAGCAAACACGGACCTCCAAACATCAGAGGTGGGATCAGAGGAGGAGTGAGTGGTGGAGCCATGGAGGAGTGAGCATCCCCTGCCGACCGGTCACACCCGCCATGTGCTCCTTGTCATGATTAGGAAATTACGGAAAAATCCATCGACAATTCAGTGTGTAAATAATGGCCTAACAATTAGTATGAAAAACATCAGTCAGCATTTGACTCAATGATAAATTGTATTTGCTGACAAGGTCATTGTATCGACCATAGAACTTACGAAATGATGACTTTAAACGAGACAGCTGATATTCTTGTTTCATCAACTTATTTGTCAATAATTTACCTCGTTTTAGAAATTGTACATACGTAGAGCATGCTCTTGCGTATCGAATCAACTGAGAGATATATACACCGTATGCAGGTGATGAAGGTATATTGCTGCATAAGTAAGGGAAGTTGACGATTGAAAATTTAAAGTCATCACGTTTATCATAAAGCTTGGTTGTTAGATTACCATTAACGTCTTTTTCAAGTAAAATATCCAAATATGAAACAGATGTGTCAGACTCTGTGGTATCTTTTATCTCAAGTTCACCAGGATATATCGTATTGACATAAGAATGAAAATAGCCATTGTTAATTGACAATATGTCGTCAATATATCTAAATGTCGAGTTGAAGGCCACAGCTAGTGTTTTTTTCTTTTCACGTACAAGATTTTGGACAAATTCTGCTTCATATGAATACAAAAAAAGGTCTGCTAATAAGGGGGCGCAATTGGTACCCATGGGAATTCCAATAGATTGTTGGAAGACCTGGTCTCCAAAAACCACATAGATATTGTCAATCAGAAACTCAAGCATCTTTTTAATGTCAACTTCAGAGTACTTGTGTGAACAATCAGAATGTTTTTTAACAAAATAATTTTGCAAATGACCAATGACAAGGTAAGTATATTTAAGAGTTCCATTTTTATTGAAAAAGCAGCTGTCAATGATATCAAAAAGCTTGGACTTTAATTTATCGTGGGGAATGGTTGTGTACAAAGTTGAAAAGTCGTAAGTTTTTAAGCTGTTGATTTTGGTAAAATCTTGTGATTTCAAATTTTCCAAAAGTTCCTTGGAATTTTTAAGTATCCACATCTGATTTACACCACTTCTGGAATATATTGTTGCACAGTGCTCTTGAAGTTTTTCCTTCACCACTGTTAATATCTTAGTGAGGAGTAAAGATAGAGGCTTGGTTGAACATTTACTGGAACCCGCTATGTTCTTTGTTTGTAAGGATTTTTATGAAGTTTCGGAATCCAATATAAATTTGGTAATTCAAATTCATTTTGGTTGTTTGGAATATTAAAAATATTCAAAACTGACATATGATTTTGAAGAATTTCTTCCTTAGAAAGGGAACTATGAGTATAAGTTGGATTACCACTTGTAGAATTAAATCCAAGTTCCTCTAAAATACATTTAATATAATGAGCCTTACAAACAAAGACAATGTTGTTACCTGCTTTGTCAGCAGGGACCAGTACGTACTGATCATGTAATCTATCTAATTCTTTTTTCACTTCTGGATTATTGAAAACAGAAGGATAGATGGTTTTCATATTGCCTCTCAATCTTTTAATGCGCGATTTTAACATACATCTGATACATTTAATCCATTCTGACAAAGTGTTAAGGTCTTCTTTTTCATGTCTGGCCCATCGCCTGGCGTAGTCCTCTACAGAATCCATAATATTTATGAAATTCTTACGCCAGTTGAAGGATCTGGGTTCTCTAAATTTAGGACCTTTTAAAATTAGTGATCTAAGATCCTCATTATTAACTATATTTACGTCACCAGTAATAACGTGTCCAGCAGGACTATAGTTATAGGGCGAAGAAGAACATGAACACGATGGAGGATTATGTTTCAGATATTCGATATCCAGGCCCTGTAAAGTCTTCTTGTAATTAAAAAGTTTGGAAGCAATAGTCAATGTATATTTGTAGGAAATACAAGGTGTAGTCTTTAACTTGAAATATTTTGGAATACAAGACTGGACCCTTTTGTGATTAAGGATATTACTTATATTAACCGTGTCAATTCCTTTGTTGGCATATTGAAGTTTAAGGAAAAAACGGATTGTTTTAGCTGCATTTTCTTCAGTAAAACGCGGGAGTTTAAAAAGCCTATGATTGGCAATATCCATAACTACAGATCCGAGCCTATATTCTGGTGTCTGGTATAAATGATTAAATCTAAACCTTGATTGAGTATCTTCTCTTGTATATGTGACAAAAAATTGGCTTTTTGATTGTTATTTTACATTACTTTTTCAATTCTGGTTTGAAAAGTTTTAATATGAAAAAAATATGAAGCAATAAAATTCCCCAAAATTCACTTTTTTGTCCATTCAAGGCAATTCTTTAAATCTAAGCCAAAAAATACTAGATTTTGAAGTGACCCTATGTTACATTATTGTGTTGCACTCCTGACATCTGATATGTATTTTATTTAACATCATTTTAAAAATTATAACTAGGGATGTCAAGGAATAGTCGACTATTCGACCATCAGTCAAATGGACTGACGATTGAATAACGAAATGACATTCGAATAAATAAATTCAATAAAAGAGCGATGAAGAGATGGAATTCTCATCCTAAAATTGAGAAACCGTCTTCCCTCAGACACAGTGGATAAGATAATTTTCCTCATTAAAAACTGCTGACTTTACATGTAGAAAGTACAGTGATTAGAAATGCTTCACTTCCGTGAGAATTATTGTCAATTAATGTGTTGTTTTTATAATAAAATTATCTTGTCATACTGCGCTTTCTTTGTAAAACTATTCATTGGACTTTATCTCATACCATGTACCCATTATAGCCGTGACATGTTTGGATACAACGATACTTATTATAAAATTAATATTCTTTTACATATTTTAAAGACAATTTGATAATTGGTACAAAAAGTATATTCAAATAATTAACATTATCAAGGGCACTGTATGTGCCCCCCTCCCATCATTTTAATAAGCTTTAAAAAATATATCGCACTGTCATTTTTTATGCTTCCTAAAAAAACGACTTTACAGACCGATTTATGAACATGATTGACGGTGAAATCCTACATTTTGGAGAAATTATATAAGCGGTCTATATTAAGTAAATATAAACACGCTATATCCACATTTTAAGTCCATGTGAACATCTGTGTGTAACATTTGATGTAACTTTTTAATCAATTTAAGAAAGGGAGATTTGTGGTTAAACGTGATGTACCAGTGAAGTTTGAAATAAAATTTTGGTTTCCGAAAAAGATTCAAATATATTTGACTATCGTTCGAATAATGCAATCGAATATTCGACTAAAGAAAATAAATATTTTGACATCCCTAATTATAACATACAATAATCCATTTTTACTTTGTAAATCAATCTGTCGTTTTGATATTTTTCATTGTTTACGGCAGGTTTTTCATAGTTTAAAGACCTTAAAACATGATTATTTGCAAAGTGTAATATATGTAAAAATGTATTTAAAAATATATGTGAAATGATGAAATCTATTCCCTAAAATTTCTGTAATTTGTTGATAGACATAGTGTTTTGAACATCAAATAGTATCAAACATTTTTTTTCAACTTATTTTTTAGTAAAGATAGTTAAAAAGCATTGGTAATTATAAAGCAGTTTTGTTGCACTCCTGACTGCAGTAAAATTTAAAATTAAAACCATAGAACACAAAAATTCATAAAGTGTTGGCACCATCAAGTGGTAATGAAATTGTGCAGTATTTATAGTCCAATACTTCATAATTAAAACAGATGAAAGTATTTAAAATTCACATTTTATCTGGAATTATTCCCTATTTATGCCAAAAAACTAGCTTAAATGAATATTTAGAAGATAAAATATATTTTATAGCATATTTTCCTTTAGAGGACAAACACAGTAACCCACCGGTAAAGAAGACGGGCGTACTTGGTGTGCGATCTGTAGGAATCGTGTACGAAACATTTATGGTTTAAATGTCCACGATTTGGTCGGCTGACCAGAAGTGGACAGGCTTTACCAAGTTACGCACATAGGAAAATGTTTAGATTTACCATGACTTTAAAATATGAAATATTTTAGTCCATTTGATAGTTACGATAACACAGTA